TCGCCTGGCCTCGCCTGGCCTCGCCTCGCCTCGCCTCGCCTCGCCTCGCCTCGCCTCGCCTCGCCTCGCCTCGCCTCGCCTGGCCTTGCCTTGCCTTGCCTTACCTTACCTTACCTTACCTTACCTTACCTTACCTTACCTTACCTTACCTTACCTTACCTTACCTTACCTTACCTTACCTTACCTTACCTGCCTACCTACCTACCTACCTTCCTACCTACCTACCCCACCCACCTACCTACATAACTGACATACATGCATGCATGCATACCTCCACGTACGTACGTTCATGACACAGAAATGTATCGGTTGCTGCAATTCAACACAGCCATAGGATCTTGCAAGTCACTTTTTTGGCAGGGGGGCTGGGGGGGGTTGAGGCGGGGTGGTTTTTTTGCACGAATTGCACGAAGGTATGAGCAGCGAAGTCTTCACGACTTCCAAACACATTTACATGGACCCTGCCGTCAGGCAGCCCCGGATCTGCGGCGCGTGCTGAAGCGACGAGTCCCCTGTCGAGAAAGTGGTGCCGAGAGGCTTAGGAATCCAGCATCGGCTGCTAGAGTTATCATGTCATGGGAGACAGCCGCGGTCATCCTGGCAGAGATGTGGTTACTGGTGGCAGTTTCGCAACCCTTCCTGTACTCCGAGACAGCTGTGGAGACAGCCGGGAAGATTTTCATCCCTGATGAGCCTCTGATGTACAGCGCCGCAAATCGAGGTGCCCATTCCAGATCATTTGGCGGCGACTGAGCACCAATTAGATGCGCTTGTGACTTGTGGCCGTATGGCCCGTGATGTGGTTCACGTGATTCAGATTTGGAGGACTCACGTTGTCCTGGGCCTCAGTGCATGGACTCCGACCAACTTCATCAGCTGCCATGCCCCTAAGGTGGCAGACTCCAGATGTTTATTCTGTGCTTCGCGCCAGCTCCGCGCAGTCTTGTCCACCTTTGTATGCATTCGTTTGAAGTTTGCTTCCTGGCAGCTGATTGCAGGGATACATGGCCCGTTTCTGGTTTTGAGCCGATGCGTCAGCGACTGCCATCTGCCGGGGCTTAGGAAGTACCCGAGCCGTTGGAGAGGGCCGGCACAGCCGCCGTGGTGCAGCGCCGGGTGCAGAGCTCCTGGACTGTTAATTGCTGATTTGCGATTCCCTAGCCGAGCCGAGCCGAGCAGTTGGCATTTTATGACAAACAGTAGGGATCCTGCCGCAGCTACCGTGCGCGGGTACAGACGACAGCTACATGGAGAGATGTCGAGAAAATTCGAGAAAGGAATCCCACTTCGTGGCATGTCCAATTGGCAAAGACATAGAAGGCTTGAGCAGTAACACGGGCCAGCGTGCATTTCCGGTGCCGTTTCACAGAGTTTAGGTCGGGGCGACTTGGTGGTTCCAGTCCTCCTCTGTTTACCTGCCGAGGAGCCCGCATCAGAGTGCTGCAGGCCGCGTCGCGGCGGGCACAGGAAGAGTGCGGGTGGAGGGTGGCACAGCACTGCAGCCAGCAACCGCTTCGTGTGTCATGTGGCCTACCCCTCCGTCTATCTCTTGCCGTCGCATCTCCTCAGAACACACCCGTGTAGCATGGCTTCACCAGTGACGGTGTGACAGGGGTCTTGGATCCCCAGGCTTAGAAAATCTCGTGTCTTGAGCCGATGTCGAAGCGTCAAAGTAGTGTCAAAGTGTGCAGGCTCCTGTGAGCAGGCCTCTGCCGATATATTGTCGGTGCCCCTTGCGCGTCTCGGCCTGCAGACTTGTACTTGCGTGCTCCACGAGTTTACCACGAATGTTTTCCATGCAGCTTGTCGGTCGAACTTTTGGAAGGTGCGACACCCCTGGAGAAGGTGTCGCTCTTCCGGCTCCTGCAAAAGATGCCTTGCAGCAAAAAGCTATGTTTGTTCGTTCCATCAGCCGCTTGAACGTATGGCACAAAGTTCAGGCTTGCGCCCATGATCAAGTGGGACGAATGCGAACAGGCCGCAGAGTCCAATCTTCTGAGCCTTTTGTGTTGTGCGATTCTCGGAAGTGCCCCGCCTTCGGGCAGATTCAGTGCGTGTGCCACGCGGCGAACCTGGATTTCCTTGAGTTACCATTGCGAACCTGCACGACAAAGCTGCGTGGCTGCTGCTTGGCGTCAAATCACGAAGTTCAGAAGACTTGCAGAGTTTCGACGACCTTGCAGCAAATGTCCGGCGAAATGTCTGGCGCATGCAGGGCGAATGAGTCGATTTACTAGGCAAACAGGGTTCTCCCCACAGCATATCCAGGGCGTTGCTCGGAGATGCTCCCACACTGTGACCTCAGGCATGCCTTGGGTTTTGCTGGAAAGAGCCGAGCAGCTCCCCGATGCGACTCGACGTGTTCATGGCCCTCTGCAAGCCAGCTCTCGTGCTATCTGGGCAGGGCAGCAACCACCTGTAGCTTCTGGTATGAGGTTGTGGCTATAGAGATGAAACTGCAGCAGAACCTTGGATGCTTTTCAGGCAACCACCCGGCTTTGCGTTTCCGGGCGCACTGACACCCAGGATCTGTCAATTCCCGCCAGGGCTGACGCTCCCGAAAGTCACCAGAGTCAAAGTATTCTGCTGCCTCCTGGCTTGCGAGAAATATCGAGAACGATTCTGATGTCCCCTGTGATCGGTTATGTAAGACTCGGACTCCGCCCGTTAGTTTTCAAGAAGATTCAAGTCAGCTGCTCTGCGATCCAGGGGAGCCTGCAGCCGCGCTATCTGAAAACGCCTTTTGCGAGTGGCCTGGCTTTCGGCATGCAGCTCTCCAACCCTACCAATCAGAAATCCGACTATGGTTGCAACATGTTGCAACAGTTTGCCGTTCGCATCAAGGTAAACATGATTTCTGGGGACACCCCGCCCATTGTACTCGCACGTTCAACTAAGGATTTACAGACTTTTTCCAAACCTGGAGCAGCTACATCTGGATATGCTCCCAAGCCTGCTGCCTCCACTGTGCCTCTCGAAATTTGACACTTTGCCGCCAATGTCATGGTCATGTCAAATGCCACATTTGGAGAAGGCGAAGTTTGCTACGCGGTCCCTCCCCACTTGTCCAATGGTGGCTTTTTTTCTCAGAGCATTCCAGTGATGAGTTGTGCACCCTTTCAGCAAGGTGGCCCTGGCTGATTTTCGCATCAGCTTCCACGAAGTTCCAGGCCAGGCGGCACCATTTTCGTCTCCCTGAAGAAGTGATGCTGAGGCATCTTTTTGAGTGCCGGCCTGCCAGGCACGGCACATGGAGAAGGGGTGGAGGGTAGTTACTTTCTTGAGCCTCAGCTGCAGCATCTGCAGCCCGCTCGAACCAAGTGTTATGTGCTCGCCGGAGGGAACTGCTCAAGCGTTTGAGGGTCTGTGCAGCTGTCGCTGTCGCGGCCATGTGCGTGTTGAGGATCTGACGGCTTTTTTTGTTCCTGTACAGTCCTAATTTGTGTTGGGTTTCGCGAGTGCGCCGTCGGAGCCGAAGGCTCCTCAGCCCTGAGGCCGCCAACCTGCTGACGATGCCCTTCGCCGGCGAAGGCAGCGTCTCAGCTTGGCTCACAGAGCGCTGCCCAAAGTCACACAAGAAGCATGCTCGCGAGCATGTTCATTCTGCGCACAAACACTATGATGGGGAAGGAACAAAGAGGGAACCAACGAACGAGAAGACGTGCGTACCTGTGATCGGTTGCTAAGCCAAAGCCTTCGCTTTGCGCAGATCTCTGCAGGAGGCGTCTTCCAAAGGCTCGTTCGCCTCCAGATGGATGCTCTCGCCGGATTATCCGGAGGCAAAAGTGTGCTGGTTATCCGGTGTTCGCCTTCGCATGGCTCACATGCAGGGGGTTGGAGGTTGCCACTTTGAAGCGGCGTCCCTGCTTCGGGTTTGGAACCGAGCAGGTGCACTCCTGCACATGGCCACGGCCCTGCGCGGGGCACCCGCCTTGAGG